TATATTTTTTTTTTTTTTTAGAACATGCATGGAGCAGGCGTAACATCAAATAATCTAATTTTCTGACACATTGCTCATGGATATTGTGGTATAGGAATTGATAGTGTCAGCTTCTTGTCTCTAACCTATGAGCTACATTTGCTTTCCTTGCAGTTGCTTGGAAGTTCAAATGCTTTTTCCATATTTGGCCAATAAAACTTAGTGACTTTTACCCATACTGTCATATTTTAATACCACTATCAAGGCCCCAGAAAAGAGGTGTGCTTTAATTCGTAGGGTTTATGCAGATGACTGAAGGTAAATTTCTGCTGAGAGTGCAAAGGAGATGAAGCCTCTGCAATGCAGTACTAATACAGAAGGATTCAGCTGATCAGGAAGATGACACTGGATGATATATTCTGTCTCCAAGTTCTGTGTTTTCAATTCCCTTTCAGTGTTTGCTGTTAGTGTTAACTCAGTCACTTGAATCAGGCAGTTGGGTGAACATGCTAGAAGAATAGTCAGAAAAAGTTTTGTCTCCCTAAGTGTGGGAAGGACAAGCCCTCTGTTCACCAAATGCTGCTTTCATCTCTATTGTTACAGGTGACAAACATAGCACATCGTTGATTCTTTCTCTTACTTATCAGCAAATCCATTGCTGTTGGAAATCTAAATGTTAGGGGTAAACTTCAAAGGAAAAGAGATCCAGATCCAATTTTTTTAAAAGAAATTAGTTATCTTTGTGTATGGAATCAAGTGACCTATATACGCTTAGCTTGCAAGTGTTGCACAAAAGCAGAAAGGCAGGCCTTTAGCCACCTCAGAAGTTTGTACGTGCATTTAGCTGATCAGGTGTGCATGATCGTTATGATGTACATTCACAAGAATCTGATAGGCAAAACATTTTTTGCAGGCAGACTTTGTCTTGCTTTTTTTTGGAAAACAAGAATATTAATTGTTCCCAAGTCTGTAGAATTTTAATTTGTCTTACATCTTACTGCCTTCCTAATTGTTTTATTTTTTTATTGTAACATACAGAGACAAGATGGGAGGAAACAAAGTGAAGGTACACACAAAAGCATTGAAGCAGTTGTTGCTCGGCTTGAAAAACAGAATGGGATGAGTCTCAGTAATGCTTCCAGCCCTGAGGAGGCTTTTATGGAGACTTCGGAAAGCATGAACAACATGGATGATGCTGTAGTTCCTCGGATTCTCTATGAAGAATTGCTGAGGAGTTACCAACAGCAACAAGAAGAAATGAGACATATTCAACAGGAGCTTGAGAGAACACGTAGACAGCTTGTGCAACAGGCAAAGAAGCTAAAGGAGTATGGGGCACTCGTGTCAGAAATGAAAGAGCTCAGAAACTTGAACAGGAGACTCCAGGATGTACTCCTTCTAAGACTAGGTAGTGGTAAGTGCTGGACTTAAATGGGACAAGTTTTAATGAATTTTTCAAGTGTGATCACTAGTAATGGAAACATATTTGAAGAATAGCAGTGGTTGTTAAACTGGACATTGAATGTTAAAAGGGTTTTCTGCTGTGGCTGTACAATATGTGTTGAATTTGTATGCTATGTATGTCTGGGTTTTTCTTTAATGATAGTAGAGATCTTTGTGGTATGGTTGAATCAGAGTTCCATTTTAAGCAGCTGTATTTTAAAGAGTCTTTGACCTTCCAGTATATGCTGAAAATCATAATAAAGCATCATCTGCAAAATATACCAATATGTTCCAGTTGAAAAAAGAAAGGAAAAAAAAAAAAAAAGAAAAGAAGAGGCAGTGCAATGAAGATTTGGGCTAAAATTATTTTATTCTTTTCAGTTAGGGATTTTGTTTGTTGTTATGTAAGTGACTGTGTTACCTTCCCTTTTTTGCCCCCTCTGAAAATTAGTAGCTCGTTAGAATATGGTATACTCCTGAATTTCTTAGCAGTGGCTTTAAACAGCCGTGCTATTTGAAAAATAATGGATTGTTAAAGAATAATTTTAAAAACTTTTTTTTATATTAGTGTCCCGTTTATTAACTTTTGTTACAGAATGCAGGTTTGTGTAATTTGGATTTAAATTTTAAATATCTTGAGTCAATTGCTCATTTGTTTTGGTTTATAACAATTATTCAACCGTTATGTTGGAATAAATGGGGGAAAAAAGATAAAATAAAAAATTCATCCTTTTCATTGAAGATGGTACCCTTGGAATACCTTCAAATATTTTACTAATTTTATACTTATTTGCTATTAGAATGCGGTACTGCTGTGTTGAAGATTTGCTTGGTGACTGAAACTTGGTTAAAATTTGTGCATCCAGACTTAGCATGCTGTTTCTTATGTCTGCCTTTGTGTATCTGGAAACTTAATTTTTGCATGTAAATTGGATATCGGCTCTTCTACTTGACTTGAACGAGTGCATGCAATTTGCATGTGGGTCTGAGTTCTATTCATGTACAAACCCAAACCTGAGAGAGCATGTGCCTGTGCTGTATGTAGCATGTGTTAAGGTGTGCCCGCAAGTTTGGAGACAGGTTCTCAAAGTAGCATCTGATGATTTAAACTGGGTGTTTGATTGTGAATGCTCATCACTGTTACACTGTGCATAATTAAAATGTTATTACTCATTATAAACATTCTAGATAACTTTTTAAATAAAATTAAATAGGCAAGGTTTCCACAGTCTGAAAAACATGATGTGGTTGGCAGTAGATTCCACTGAGTTTTCTAAAATTTTCCTTGGATGGAAAGATGTTTCTTCATCTGCAAGTAGTTAGCTGCAATTTATGTGAATGGAGTACCAGCCAGATGTTAGTAGGCAATGGGGCTGAACAGCGTAAAATACCAATTTAGTTGGTAGACTTGACAGCAATTTGAGTGGTGAGACCAGCAATGAAATGAAGACAGCTTCTGAATTTTGTCTTGTTTCTTTCACTTTAACAAAGAAGGGATGCATTTTTTTTACTTGAGCTGAATCAAGAAAGCTTAGAAGAAAAGGAAAAAAAAAGAAGAAAAAAAGAAAATGAAAAACCCTCCAAAACCTCTTGGAAAAAATGCTGAATCTTCTCTAAATACTGGGCTTGAATTTCCATTCTCTCAATCTGGCACTTGCTTTACAACTGAAAGCAAATCTTGATTACATTGAAGACAAGTCAATTTAATGACATACATAGACAAATATGAATTATAGGTAATTTAAAAAAAAGTCCCTTGTGTTACTACTTGTATGGAACTTTTCATGGATGACAGAGGTACAATTTGGCCCCATGTGCTGTGTCCTTCATGGGCTGTGTGTTTCCTAAGACTCAGTGCATTAACCACTGATAACTCTTGCCTTTCCTTGTAGCCTCATTCACAATAGAGAAGCAGCCATATTCTAGAAAGATCAGTACAAAATCTGTGAATGATTAGAAAGGGAGACATCTTCAGCAAATTATAAATTACAGAGTCTGATGACAGTATGAAAAAGTGCTACTTTTAATTAAGAAATAGATATGTAAAGACTTCTTTAGTCTTCCTTACTTTTCCATCTTATAAATGAGGTATGTTTGGGTATGTGAATAATCTGTGAAAATTGTTCAGAAAATAGATTGCATTCTGAATTCATCTTCAGTTGTAGCGATCTCTTAAACCTAGAGTTTCAAATTACATGTAATTTATGTTACGCTGCACTTCTAGCAGGTTGGACTTAATGCAAACTAATTGCATTTCTGTTTCACCTTAGAGACTTCTGATTTCCTTGCATGAGATGACAGCTGTTTTGTGCTGATGAATTGCAGCTGTGGGAAATGCGTGCCTGTTGCCATTTTAAGCTTGCAGATCAAATATAGAACAGCCTCTTGAGCTAACATTCAGCCAAGTATTTAGTCTCCTAATTTCCCATCAATATGTTGATTTCAGTGAGAAGCTAGCAGTCAATCTGTTTGGCGTTAGACCTGGACCTTCATCTCTGCTGCTAAACTTGAGCCACTCTTGTGGGAAGAGTGAGGTTCTTTATCTTTCGCATGGTGACACTGAATTGCTCGTTGTTCTAAAAGAGCCTTGGAAGCAGATGTGGCAAATGACAGTAGTGAAATCAGTACGGATCTGTGGGGATACGTTGAAGCTGCTTTATGATTTTGGTATGCTGGTGCCCAACAGATCCCTTCCTGGAGGAGGCAGGCGTTTGACCAGGGCTCTAGGGACCAAAGCGGTGGGGGAACGATGACTGTCGTGGAAGAGGTCACAGTATCCCTCATCCGAGCTTCCTGAAGAATGTGTGCAGCAAAGCCTCTTTTCCCTTGCCCTCTTAAGGATCAGGAAGCCCCATGATCATAGGCCTTTGCAGTTTATCTTTGTTCTGCTGTACCTCAAAACAGACCAGTTTGCCCTGGTTTTATCAATAGAGAGGTGATTTAGAGAATTAAATGACTGACTCTTCCCCGTAGGCCTAACTTAAAATAGTCCTTGGATTGCAAAAGATAAGAATTTCAATAACTCTTGAAAAAAGTAGTTGTCTCCAGGGTAAGATCTGAGCATTTTACTATGGTTGTATATGGCCAGAAGTAGTGAAGTTGTATCAGGGATAATGTTTAGATGATGTTCGGTCCCTGATAAATACTGCATTTTCATGTTGTAGCGCTAAGAATTAGTGTTGCTCTAAAGTCGGAGAGTATATTCACCTTCATTCATTCATCAGCACACACAGAGCCCTCCAAGTGGTTATTTTTAATCCCCGTTTAATTTCAGTGATCCAGTTTGCAGTGTCTTGGGAGTAACACCGGGATAGGGAGAATGAAAGGGTATTTGTGTCTTGCCACATGAATTACTATTATTCAGCTTTTTGTTTTTTTGATGTAAAGTCCAATGTTTCTATCGAGTACCTTATAGAATATTTTCCTTTCTCAGACTCCTGTTGTTTTCGTTCAAATTCTGGTAGACCATGTGGAAAACCAGCTTGCTGCTTACAAATGTATATTGACTGCTTTATTGGTTAATTTATTTTGGTTTATTTACTAATTTTTGAGTAGCGTGTAGCCTAAGATGCATTTTTGAGGAAAAGAGGTGATGAAGGGAAGCCGCCTACCTCTTCATCCTGCGTCTGGACTTGCTGACCTCTCAGATATTATGGAAACTTTACAGTCAGAAGGAGAAAGATTTTGTAATAAACCTTTTGTTTCCTTTTTGCATTCTGAAGAATTGTCTTTATTTTTTTATGATCCTTATTACAGAAGTGCTATCATTGTTAAGCCTGTAGATAGTGGTACACATTTTTATATGTCCTATTCATCATTAAAATCAGATGCAGAGCACAAGATCTACAGAAGAGAGGAAAGAAAGCAATAATGCGGGTTCCACGTCTAATTCACAACATGCTGGGTTGAAAATACAGTTTTTAGTAGTTGGTGAAAATAGCTGTGAAGACTACCTGCACAGAGGCAGATTTCTGTTTGAGAAATAATAATGAGTAGAATATAATATAAAAGACGATTTAAAGGCTTTCTGTTGGTGACTTCTAAGCAGTAAAGCGTGAATTGCAATTGAGGTTTTTCTGACCTGGTTACTGTGGACTTCAATCAGCTGTTTTTCTTGGAACTCCAGAAATGAAATCACAACTGTGTGTCAATATATTATTATAAACAAAACAGTAAAAGACTTCTTTAGTCTAAAAGACTTTCCAGTAAAAGAATTTAAACTGAGATAAACGTTTCCTTCTGGGAAGAAAGTGGTTGTACTTAGGTGTCTTCCTCAACTTGACTTTCAAAGTGTAAGAAAACTCAAAGTAGCACTTTGTAACAGCTAAAAGATCACTTCTGAAGTTCACGCTGGCAATTAGCGTTACTGCATCTATTTGTTCAGGTGTGCCCACGGTGAGATGTGTGCAGGCTTTGGGTGCTTTAATCAATCCAGGGCTTTCCCCCAATCTCAATTGGTTTAGCAGTCTCAAGTTTAGAAAGTTTAGCTTGTTTTGGCTGTACCATTGTATATGCATGATAGTAGAGGTTCTTACTAAGATTACTATGAAATTATAATGCCGGTGGTGTTTTTTTTTGGATTTCTGTATTTGTGCCGTGCTTGCATTGCATATGGCTCTTAAGACCCTGTTGGTGGCAATGCAGTATAGGGTTATCCGAGTTGCCAAGACAACTTGTAGTTATTGCTGAGTGTCAAGTGGCAGTCAGCTGAGAACATTTAGCTAGCTATGCAGGTATAGAATAAGCTATAGGATGACACGGAAGAAATGCCGATATCACTGGGTAGTAATCTGTAAATCCAGTTTCACAAAGGAGGAGGAATGAATACTTGTTCAGGTACAGGAACTATTTAAGATACATGACTCAAGACACAAGCTCTGGTGCCAACTTGACTTGCAGAGTTAGATCAATTCAGGGCTTGGTCTATGCGTACAAACACTGAGGAGGGGTGCTGAACAGTGACCTCATTATTGAATTGTCATTTGTTGAAGATGTCACGGTTGGGCTACAGAGTGCTGCAGTGCGGTCAGCTCCAACCTGGTACAATCTAGTTCTTACAAGTGGGTGAGTTTATCCTTACAGGTCCTGTAAGCGTCTGATTACTATGGTGTCCAGGGTCTAAGCTGACAACTTTGCAGTGTCAATGAACCCCCGTCTGTGCGTGGAACTTCAGTGACTGCTGGAGCTTCTCATGACCCCAGAGATAGACATCAAGAGACAATGATATGCTTGGGGCCGTAACCTGTTCTAGACTTCTGGTGCAACCACTGCAATGAATGCGATAGTGAAACCTAGTTCACAAATTATTTTTTTTTTGTTCTTCTACCTTTTTAGGAACACTTAATAAATTTGATCTGGAAAAGTTGATGACTGACAAAATAGTTATCCTCCTTTAAAGCCTCAAGCATATGCTTGGAAGTATTCTGTTGTTTAATCTGTGCTTAATTTTTGTTCATTACATTAAAAATAAAAATCTGTGTTGGATGGATTGGACAATCAAAATTCTAATTTATGTGTTTTTTCTTAATCTTTGATACTCTTTCCATGCATGGTACTTTAGCATAAGTAGCCTAAGCCTGTTTCCTTTATAGCATTTCTCTAGATCCTCACTATTTTTAGTATACCAGTTATATCTAAAGAGATTTCAAATTTTTATAAAATTTGTAATTCTTTATGGATAATTTATATAATAATCACAGTAAATTGCACAGGTTTCTATGCCGCAATATAGTAATTCTTATGTGAAGACTTACTGTTGTTGCTTTTGGTTTATAATTTCAGTGTCATTTTAACATATTTTCTGTAGTGTGCATTGAAGCAATTTTATCCATATCTTTAAGAAAAAAATTAAACTTTTAAATTAAAAAATTAAACATTTTAATGTTTATAAAGCAGAGTTACTTATCCTGCTTTTATTTATCGACTTCCAAAAGTAGGGTTTTGGTCTAGACTCTTTTCTGACTTTAAAACGAACATGACTAATGTGTTATTTTATGCTAACCATGGGTGATGAAGTGATTGATTTCCTGTTCTCTGGGATAGCAGACAGCTCTCTTTTCTTAACTGTCTAGGACCTACCATTGAGCTTGAAAAAGTAAAACAAGAACCAATTGAGCCTGAACCTGAGGTACAGAAGACCTTCAATGAGGAAGCAAACACATCAACGTACTATCCTGCCCCTGTTCCAGTAATGGACAAGTATATTCTCGAGAATGGAAAGGTATTTTCAATTAAATACAGCATGAATAGTTTGTAAATGTCCATCAGATTATTTTCTTGTGGAATTTTCATTATATCAGGTGTTTTGTGTGGTAGCAGCTCATACAGACTTCCTCAGCTTTCATAAAGGTGTGCTATTATGCTGAGGAAAGTTATGAAATTACACAAATATGAACAGCATAAAAAATGATCCTCAGTGATGAGAGAATTGAATGGTTTTCAATGCAAGGAGTATAATTATTAAATATGCATGCACAAGCACATTGGCATGGTCTTCAGTTGGTGACATGCATAAATCCATCAAATGTAGACCAAAGTCAGTAACCCACATTATAAAGTTACATTAGTCTATTTAACAGAAATACTTTTTCATAAAACATCTTTAATGTTTTTAATGTGCTGTAGTCATATTGCAGAGAAGCCTTCATGTTTTGGTTGAATTGGAGTCCAGTAGATCATTATGAACCCTGGAGTGAAAATGGGCTCCTTGAATCTGGTGGGAGCGTTGCCACTGAACTGAGCTGATCCAGTACTACTTTACAGATACTTTTATAAAGTTGGTGAAATACCATCTAGCTACAGTTTGCCAGAACCCAGTTGATAGTTTTTCAGACTTCAGCATGTTTAACACATTGCCTGCTAGCCTACCAAGGCCTGCTTTTATAGCTGTTGTCATTATCATTAAATGAATGTTATATTTCTTTTACAAAACTGTGCATCCTTCAGAATTGCCTATGCAGATCCTGTTTCTTATACATTCAGTACCACAATCTGAGAACCTTTTAGGAGGAAACTTCCATTTCAACTTTGGCATACAGTGGAATATCATGAAGTATTGCATTTTCAGTTTCTGTTACAAGATTGACTTCACAAGTGTCTGCCATTCTTGAAGATTAATTCAACATAATTGTTGAGGACAAAATGTATGTGAAAAATAGTATTATCTTGGCAGTTTGACAGGTATTTGGTTCAGATGGCTTTCTTGCCTAATATATTTAACATGTGTCGTTTGCTTGTATATTTTGTATATATTTGTGCAGTGAAAACTTGGCATATATTGCTGTGAGAGTTTCGTTTATCTCCTTTTTTTTTTTTCTGCTTCAGGTCTGTGGGATAGGGCACATCCTTTAGTACTTGAACGCAGCTTTTCCTGAACCTTTATTTCATCTCCCAGCTTCTTGGCACTTCTGTTGCTGAAGTTTCTCTGTCTTTACAGATATTAATCTCTCCTTAACTTTTCTTTTTGCAATTTTGGTCTTTCTTTAAGTTTGCCTATTTATTGGGGCTTCAGCCAGCTCAGATGCCAGAAATCTGAACTAATAATGGTTTTAGAGTGTTGGAAAGTGTTTTTTCTCAGTTTCCCTTATTTATGGCTTTTTTTCATTACTCCTTTATTGACATGCACCACTAAAGCAGTTGAAATGCTGTTTTAGAAATCTTGCCCTTTGTGGTATCAGATTTTATTGTAGTAGGATTCTTTTAAAGCAGATAAATCTCTCCTCTTCAGAGGGAGAACAGAGTTACCAAAAAGAGCCTATGGCATCCATTTAAAGAAAAGAAAAAAGAAGAAGAAGAAAAAAAAAAGTTCATTTTCTGAGATACATTTTAGATATATTGCACAGCTTAGCACAGTTGTGGTGGTGAGCATTACTTTCAGTTTGCTGTTGTTTCTGTTGCATTGTGCTTGAAGGTTAATCCTGCAGTTGCTGAAATTGGGGGTAAAGTTCTCATTGATTCATCAAGCCAAGGGTCTGGCCCATAGGGCAGCTCTTCCAGCAAGAAAGAAATGGCTTCTGAATCTGGAGTACAGTAAGCTTCCCGTAGCATGGGGAGTAATAGGAAACAGTACCAAGCCTGTTTTACAGAGAGGTAAACTGAGACTTGGACAGATTAAATTCCTTGCGGTAACAGTGCTAGAAATAGAAAAAGGGAGACATAAGATTTCTGTGTCTGTGGCTGTCTGTCACGTAGTTGCTTTTACCATAGGTGTTTCATAGCAGAGAGAACTTTTTTTAATAAAGGATGCATGTTCAAAGAAGAGATATCTGTCTGAAACATAAATATTAAAAATGCTTGCTGTAACTTGTTGTTTTAAATACCTTAAAACTAATTAATAATGTTGTAGATTAAGAGACTAAGCAATCTAGCAAAGACAATCCCTAATTTTGGCAGAGGGCAATCAGATTTTTGATCAAATCCAGCAGTCTCTACTACTAATGTAATACAGATATCCAAAATTTGGCATGTCCCAACATTTCTAATCTTGGTTATTTTATACGTAACTCTATACTCATTTTTAGAGATAACTTTTCCAAGATCAAGACAGAAATAACTGAATTCTAACTGGAACGTGGTTGTTTTCTGAGCGCAGACCATTCACTCTGATTGAAGTTGTTTTACACAACATGTAGAGAGCACCAAAAGAGTGTGAATTTTTTTAAAGCAATTGTGAAGAGGCTTGACAACACAGAAGGAAGGAAAAAGAGGGGTGTTCATCTTGTGTTTATTACTAGTACCGTTTCTGTCCGTTACAAATTCTAAATACCATGTGGACTTGTGAAAAGCTGCTTCAAAATCCCCTTAGTGTAGAAAATTCTTCAGGAGAGGCAGCTTGCTTTGTGGCTTTATACTTTGAGGAAGTTAAGCTTTTAATTTGTTTTTTGTAAGGTAGCTGGTAGCCAAACCATTCATATTTTTCTATTTAAGTTTTTAAACAACTAGTTGCTTTTGAAGGATGCTGTCATACTAAAAAATTTCTTCAGGTTATAGCCCTCATTAATAATTAAAGCAGGTTTCCATTTAAAGGAAAAATGGAATTCAGTTGAATACAGGCAGTAGAATTATGAGTCTATAAAATTTTACAGTAGCTTTTTCCAATTTTCATTGCATTTAATGGGACTTAATGTGATACTGTTCAGATCTGTATGGGTAGCAGGCACAGTTTTATGTAATACCACATGAAAGGAGCGAAAATAAGAAAAAGAGCAAAACGGTTAAGGCAAACAGAGTCTCCTAACATAGTTTTGCTGTATAATTTTCTTTCCAGTTATTTTTTTTTAATGGTGAAGAGGCAGTAAGTTTTTATTATAGTGTTAGAGAAAGAACCTCCATTTGATCAGATTTTATGAAACCTAAGTTTTAGATATAACAGTCCAATTGATACATGTTTTTGGTATTTAACACTTACAGAATTATCTGAAAGGACGTTCTATCTTTTCAGTAATTAGACTAGCTAGGTCATGCTAGATAGCTTGTCATGGATGATGAGCAAGTGTGGGTCCGACTGAATGAAGTTCATCACCACGCGAACAAAGCTTTCTGTGTGCAGAGGCAGTTCAGGTGTCTGCTCTGTACTCCAGGAACTAGAAGCATAAACATAAAAGGTACAAAATATTCTCTGTGGTTCTTCACAGGGCCAGCATTTGTGCCCAGTTGGGCTTACTGGTTGCACTCATCTGAGACCCATGCTGATTACTAGTGAAGTTATTTTCCTTGCTGTTGCTTGATGGTGTCTTAGTCATCAGGACTATCAGCTCAAACATACACAGTGCCAGCCTAAGGACGGTTCTCATATTCTCGTCCTGCATTCATTTTAGGTTTGGAGCCCTGGGAAGCTTGGGGTAGAGAGACGGGGTAGCTTTGTGGGAATCAACCCACCATAGTCAATGCTGAGCAAGACTAATAAGCGCAACTAGTCTCGAGCAGCTTCCTTTTGGAGACTCTACAATGGCCTCACACTGCCTTTCCCAGTACCCATATTGTCCTGCTTTACTACTTCAGTGAAATATCTCTGGTCCCCACTGCCTGCATAATGGAAAGTTTATGATGTTGCATGATCCACAAAACAGTATTCTCCTGGATAGATCGATTGTACGTGATAGGCAAACTTCATGATAGAATTGGAAGCTGACAAAACTTTCAAACTCTCTTGGCATATATTGAAATTGTAGCTCTCAAAATCCTTTCTCCCCTTCTAGTTGCTTTAAATGATCAGGCTGAATTTTGCCAACAGGTACAGGATATGACTTGGGAAGTATTTCCCTCTCTACTGCCTCCAAAATATGCTTTCAGTAGAGTCTGTTTCAGCCAAAGCAAAGCTTTCACACTGAAGACAATGTTTCATCTTACTCCTGAATTAGGCTGGTGCAACTGCTTGGTTTATATGCTGTGCATACCTTTATAATACAGATGTGTTTACTGTTTCCTTCTTCTGTCTCTGTTCCTGAACATAGTCTTTCAGGTGATAGACTATGTTGAGGCAAAAAGTAGAGAGTAAGAAGAATTGAGAACAAAAAGGAACTATATTATGTAAGAGGTTGACTTGATGGTGTCTTAGTCATCAGGACTATCAGGTCAAACATACACAGCGCCAGCCTAAGGATGGTTGATGAGCAAGTGTGGGTCCGACTGAATGAAGTTCATCACCACGTGAACAAAGCTTTCTGTGTGCAGAGGCAGTTCAGGTGTCTGCTCTGTACTTCAGGAACTAGAAGCATAAACATAAAAGGTACAAAATATTCTCTGTGGTTCTTCACAGGGCCAGCATTTGTGCCCAGTTGGGCTTGCTGGTTGCACTCATGTGAGACCCATGCTGATTACTAGTGAACTCCCTGACCCACAAAGTTGTAGAAATTTCAGAATTAGGCAAAATGGATTTGTTCAGCCCTTATTACTGTTATTATAGTACCTAATATTAATGTTCGTACAGCACTTGGATACTGTTGTGTGCTACATACCATAGATAAGTTGTTATTATTACTACCTTCTAGGTCCATCTTGGCAGTGGAATTTGGGTAGATGAGGAGAAATGGCACCAGCTGCAAGTAACACAAGGAGATTCAAAGTATACAAAAAATCTAGCGGTTATGATTTGGGGAACAGATGTTCTCAAGAACAGAAGTGTCACAGGAGTTGCAACCAAAAAAAAGAAAGATGCCGTTCCCAAGCCACCTCTCTCACCTCACAAATTAAGCATTGTCAGAGGTAGGTTATTTGAAAACTTTTGCTTCCTGCTTTGGAGTTTAACTATTAATCATTGAGTTGAAAGATGCTTCTTTTCAGCTCATATTAAATTAACTGATTAAAACCTGTAATTCAAATTGCTATTGCATTGTGAAGTGCATACTTATTCAGGAAAAGTGAAGCACATTGCAATAGCTGTGCACAGTGCAGGCCTTTGCAGCTGAAGAGTTGTACTTCAGTGAGGTTAAAGAAGATCATCACTTTGAACCACTTGCAGGACAGGACTCTGAGCCTGGAGAACACCATGTTGTTCTGGATTTCATTTATAACTTAGTGATTTTTTTTTAAATGCATATATTCCTTCTAACAAGCCTGAGAGTAGCTTTACCACATTCTTTCATCCAGAATGTAACCAGCTCTGGCATGAGGCACAGAAACCATTATAGCTGTGACTGTAAGCATACAAATACCTTCAAAGGCAAGAAAGAATAGTGTTACCCTTCTAAGTGGAGCAAATGGAAATAGTAAAAATTAATTGTTGCACTTGAAATGGAATTTGAACAGGAAGGATAAATTGCTGACCCATGTGGCAGGAGAAATTGCAATGACACTTTCAGTAACTGCAAGCCTGAGTCCATGTATGTAGTACTTAGAGAAAGCCTTCTCCTTTATTTAAAATGAATAGTGAATTTCAGTCCCTTTGTATCATCGTGCTTGTGTTTTGCATTCATTTCTGTCTCTTTTGGTATTTCAGGCTTCTTTTTAAGTCAGAACTGAGTTGGTTCCTCATGGAATACATACTGAAATTAGATTTTTAGGTTTTGTATTCGTACTAAATTGCAGTAGGGCTGAAAGAAATCTCCGTATTTGATCGAGCTTCAATAGTCTGCATTTCCTGTTCTTAGTTGCTACGTGCTCTTAACGATGAACTCTTTAAGAGCTGTTGTAATCTACCTTGCAAGTATCATGTTTTGGAAGTAAGAAATGTGATTCCTGTTTGAGTGTGTGCATGTGTCTGTCTGTGTTGTGTGGGGAAAAGTTGGAAACTGATATTCGTACTGTATCTTTTCTTAGTTTGTAAGAAATGAGTAAAAGACATGGGGTTTTTTTAACTAATATGTGTTATATGTGGAAGTGCAAGCTGTTCCACACTGATTTTCTAGTTCTGGCTGGGGCCTTTGGTGCAATCCTAACACATGTAGTAAAGTAATGAGGTACTGGCCACGTAAGGAATCCACTCTGTGGCTGTGGCAACCCTTGTGAGCTCCTAATGGGAGACAGAATTGGTTACCCAGATGCACACTTACAGACACAGTCAAAAGGGTTCCTGTGCACTGGCCCATTGCAAAGAGTTTTCTAGTTTCCTTGCTAGAGGCTGTTGCTCCCCAGCACTCCTGGCAAGGTTGCTTCTGTGAAAATTTCTTCTTCTGTTTCAGTCAGGGCTAGTCTGTGTTGCTAGAGCCGTTAAAATTATAGCTTTCTTCTAACTCCCCTTGTTTTGACAACGGTGAGTTTGGGAATATGCTCCAACAGGTATGTGCTGAGAGGCAGATGGGGCCCGTCCCTTTCTTCTCTTCCATATTTTTATACTTTCCAGCAATTCACCTCTTCTCTATTTCCTCGTTTTTCTGTGTATTCTATCATACTATTGATTCCAGCCTTAACCCTCATTTGAATTCTGCTGTTCCACACCCTGGTTTTCCATGTTCCTTTTCCCAGTGTTTTTTTCCGTCTTGTCTTTGACTGCCTTTTTGTTAGACTCAAGACCGTACAGTCTCCTCTTGAAACATTTAAAGGTTGCATGGCTGATGTTGAGGTGGCAGCAGACAGACTTCCTGTGTCAGAGGTACTGGGTAGCACATAACCGTGATTTTCCACATCGTGTGGCCTTTGCATTTGCATCAGCGTTAGCAGCTCTTGCCCCATCATGCCAGCAGTCTTTCTTGGAAAGCTACAAGTGATCAAATAAGTTATTAAGTTACGGAGAAATGGAGAAGAAAGCAAAACAAAACAAATGAGTAGCAAGTGGACAAACGGTGAAATGCGAGGAAGTTAGAGTTTACACGGCCAGTGACTTGGATCAGGCATCACAGATAGAAATAAAGCTCCTGGTTAGCATTTGAGGTCGTCTTGAATTTTTGGTCCAGTCAGAAGTGCAAAGGGGTATCTGCATCTCCTCTAAAGCCAAAAGACGAAGAAGCAGAACCCCCAAATCACTCTTTGGAACCCCTAAGCCAGCATCCTTATGTGACTACTAAGCTGCTATTTCTGCAGCCCCTCATAGAAATGGAAGAGATCGAAGGGGAAGGACTTTGATGACTGACATAGATCTGTCTGGGTCACACTGGCTTTAAGAATCACAGCTGCTGAATGAGTTCTGTTGAGTGATTCTTTGCTTGACATTGTTGCCAAAACTAATAACATAGCCCGGATTTTACTGGAAGTTCACCTTACTAGGTGTATCTGCTGCAACCTGGGAGTATTCCTGAGATTGTTGTAGTAAAAGTTTATGTCCTACAGACACACTGGGTTTCTTCAGGTTCTCAGTGACATGCCTCTTCTTAGGTGCCGCATTTCAAATCGTAGTTTAGTGATGATCAGCATTTCAGCTATCAGGCTGCATACTGATAAATTTTATTTATTTTACATTCAGTACATCTTACAACATAAAATTGACATTGCTTTAGATGTTCTCATTATTTTGTGGACGCAGGCTAGCTTATTTAAAATAGACTTTTGAACAACAGCGTTAGCTCTTAATGTGTCTGATATCTCTAGCTTCTTAAAAATCCCTACTGTGTAGTATGTAATAATGAAATTATATAAGTATGATGCATGAGCACTCTTATAAACCTTGTTAATGCAAAAATAACCTTTTATAAAACTTCTGAGAGGTTTCAAAATGAACTACAAAGCATGCGTAGTACTTAATTTCCATAACTTTTTAATATGATGCATTAGAAATGTTATAAACCATGTTAATTAAGTGGTAATCTCTGTGGCTTTCTATATATGAAGCAATAAACGGCTACTGGAACAGATTACTAGGCAAAGCAGAACAGAGTTTGTTTAATCAGTCTGGGAAGCCTGCAAAACAAAATACATTGTCCTGGTTAGGAAGACAAAACCCCAAACCTGCCTGTCACTAAGGAGTTGGGTGTGTTAAACCACGTCTAATTTCAGTAACTTCTGCAGGATTCTGGCACTGAACTACCGCCTCTGTGGAGCAGAGTTGTCTCAACTTTCATTGCCCTCATTGCTTTTGCAGTTATGACTATTGCTTGCTTTTTGTTTTCCAATTAAGTTTACAAAAGTGTATTGCGCAAACGTGCAAGAAGATGGCTCTCACCCTGAAAAATCTATTAATAAAAGTGAAATACGCCCAGGGACAGGGTGTCTGATAAAGATGCAGACATTAATGCATGTTGAACAGATTTAAAAACTAAAATAAATTGATTAATGTCTTCTCCTACTGGTTACTGCTTCTCTTCCTAACCATAATCATTCGCTTATGGTCTTGTAGGTGTGATGGTAGGAGGGACTCAGTGAACTGTAGATAGCAACAGTTCTAGTGAGAGCATTCACCTGGGAGAAGATCCTAAATCTGCTGTGGAGATACGGACAAATACAAGAGTTAGGCAGGCAAAACTGACACTGTAAAAGGTGGGGTTTAGCCTTGGTTCTGTATAGAAAGCCTATCAATGTAGACACTGCGTAACTGGAAGTTGGACATGACAAAGATTCAAGCTCGGTGAAAAATCTTGTCTTTAACAAGATAGTGAATCAATGAAAGCTTCTGTTGTCTTGCAACAAATACAGTGCTTACTCAATGCTGTCTCTTGAGTAGTTAGCTCAACAAATGGGTGTATTCTTTTCTAGAAGTATACTAATGGCTCTTTCTTTTTTTTTTTTTTCTCCCCAGAATGTTTGTATGATAGAATAGCACAAGAAACTGTGGATGAAACAGAAATTGCACAGAGACTCTCCAAAGTCAACAAGTACATCTGTGAAAAAATAATGGATATCAATAAATCGTCTAAAAATGAAGAAAGGAGAGAAAGTGCAAAGTACAATTTGCAATAAATTTTGGATTTTTAATAAAGTCTTAGTGTTTTACTTAAGTGTTGTTTTTTGATTTGTGTGGCACTTTTGCTGATGGGAGAAACTGACTTCAAGCGTTACTCCTATAACTGATTAATTTTTTGAGCAGTTCTGTCAAAAGCCTTTCTATGGTGTAATCTGCTTGTAAATAATGTAAGATATATTGTAAGTCAACTCATAATGAAACAGTGAATTTTCAAAGGTTTTTCCAATGAGTTGCAGTATGTTATCTGCAGTTCTGTATATAGGTTGTAATTCTGCGAACACCAACCCTTTTTGCCTACATTTTGTTGTCCTGCAGTTAGTGGATCTAGGTGCAGTGGACATCTGCGTAGAAGGAAGAACTGTACAAAATCCACTTTGCTATTAAAAAGGGTTTTATTGTATTTTACAAAGTGTTTTTCTGAACTGAAATTTTAATCTGTTTGTTTTTATAAATCTTTGTTTTGATCTCTAACAATATATTTGGTCAAAAACACATAAAGAATGCCTCTTTTTCACTTATTATCTTGTACTTAGATCACCATTGCTGTCATAGTTTAAAAAAACCCAAACAACAAAGAACCCAAAGCTGTAAGTTGTAAAAACATGGTAATTTATTAAAAAAAAAAAAAAAAAATTAAAATCTAAAAGCAGTTCTTTTTCAGGCACCAATGCACTTTTCAGATTTCTGGTTATGGTAAAATGCTCTTCAGTATGTCCACATTCCTGTTCTTGAAACACTATATTTTTAGTGTATTTGTATTCTCAGTCGATTTAAAGATTGCCACACTATGGCAAGATTATGTATAATGGAAAATTTAGTACATTTCCTCTAAGTCCATAGTTTAACAACAAACACTTTTAGCACAAATTTAAATAAAAAATAAAAATAATTTTCTACATTGAAGTTAGATTTGTGATGTGGAGTTATAAGGAATAATTTGTTGTGGGTCTGAATTATACCTGATTGTCTGTAAGTGGAAGAAAACAGCCTTAAGTCTTGTTTCATGAAGGATTTTAGGAGTAAGGTTTGTAGAGATAACTTAGGGCCTGGACTGTTGAGGATTTGTTATATTTGTGATCTTAGTTAACCTTCCATTTATTTTACACACAGAGATGTGATTATCTACCTTTTAGGCTGTCTGTTCCGGAGTGTCAGCATTTGTTTCCTTTCTACCACTGAAGTTCTGCCTCTTGTAGTTTTGAGAGACTTACCTTTTCTTATCATCGTCCTGTAGCACTGGGATACCCTAACATTAAGCCTGTTTCAGTGTCCTGTAGGTGTAGATAATTTGAACGGAGCACTGCAAGGATTCTTTAAAGGGCTGGGGTGGATGGAAGAAAGAGGGGAAGGGAGAGGAGGTGCTGGAACTGCAGTGCCTGTTTTGGAAGACATGGAGAAAAATAGCACATTGTCTCTTCCTATATGCCACGTGCTTAAATGATGAGTTAATTCAGGGAGTAAGTATTTGGTTTATGCTTTCTAAAGGGCTATTTCATGACTGGCTTGTGCCAATCTAAGTATGCTGTGATGCCAAAAGAGTACGCCCTGCTTTCGCTGCTCATGTCCCTGCATTCCGGTCCCTTCCCTTAAACTGGCACTTGTGGTTGCACAGATGTGTCGGATATCACTGGTTTCCAAGGTTCATCTCATAAGGGCTGGTGCCAGTAGGATGGAGCCGGGGGGCATTCATAGAGAGGGGCGGGAGGAGGAGGAGTGTCTTTTTATGTGTATTCCAAAATTGCATTTAACAGCCTAGCTTGTCTCCTGTTAATCTCAAAGTGTTCTTAGGTAGTGTTTAATGAAGTGCATAAATGTTTATGCTTCCTAATTTGGGATGCTAAATAGCAAATTAGTGTTTATAATGTCAGTGCATGTATCCTTTTATTAATTAAAGAACAAAATGGAGATAACATTGAAAAAACACTTAAACAGCAAGTTCACACTTTTCAAGCAGACCTGTGAATGTACTTTTTTTTTTTTTTTTTAAGTGATATTAGGACAAGCCACTAGTTTGGGGGAAAATATCCGTAATTTCCTCAGTCTTTTATGGCTTTAGTACTAACATGTTTTCATTGTAACAGATTCTTCAGTGAGATCATGCTGCACTTTGTAGAAGATAAGCCTACTTGAGGCAGAATTTTATGAAACCTGGGAAAAGCGGATTAGAATTTAATTAGAGTTAGGACTCCAGCCTGGCCCCAAAAATCAGAGAGTCCAAGTTTTTCTGCAAAACCAGCATCATCTTTCAAAGGCTTCTCCTTGACAGACTTGTCCCGTATTGTGTTAATGCTGTGTATTGCTGAAGAATTTAAATTTTCTCTTTGGGGAAGGTATCCTGGAAGTCTTCATTCATCTCTTCTTGGAGTTTCTATCAACCCGGGTCCAGCAGATTGTTTTTAGCGGAGTTCAACAGGAATATTTCAGTGGCACAAAAACGTTCACTTCCCTTTGAAGTGTAGCGTTGAGAGGGGGCTAATACTGTGTCCTTTGGCCTGGGCAACTGGCATTTACTGTGAGTGTCACCTGAAACTTGCTTGAGTTATGGTAAAGGAATAGGATGTATTAAAGGTGATATCTCTCTTTATTGTATTATAACTTGATCTAAATCTTTGGATTTTTGGAAATAAGTTTTGTGTACTGTGGTGGTAAGGCAATGTGCAGAGGGCTCTGTAATGGATCACAGGTGTGTATGAATAACACTTTTCCCTTCCATTTGGTCATCGCTCTTGTCTTTTCCCTCCCCATGGACCCGTATGAAGACTATATAAGTCTTTCCCAGTGTATCTGTTTCAAATAGGGAAAATAGGCTGCAATTGTCCTGTGTTCCAGCATTACCCAAGGAAAAACGCAAACTTTAATGGGGTATGCCTTTCTGCATTGAAATACTGATGTGTAAATCAACTGTGAATTTAATTTCACTGTGTTATACTGCATCTACGGCCAATGCTGTTCTTGTTGGTACATTAATTCTCCCATAATTGTGCCTGCCTCTACATAGTTTTGCTTTGTTCATAATGCATCTGCCATGAATCTACCATAGGAGACTTGATGCGAAAACAGTGCCTACTAACATTTTCCTGCTCTAGCTTAACTTCCTACTGTACATCATGTGAAACAGGAGAGAATTTTGACATAAAATGAAGTAGGTTTTATTACACCTTGTACTACCCCTCGTTCATCACTCTAAGGTTTGTGCTCTGCTGTTCCTTCATACCGTAAACCTGGGTTTGTAAGTATCAGAAAAACACAGAGTTAAGAGGAACTGACTTTTGTCCTGAGAGATCAGTGCATACCGCTTCCTTCTTTTTTCTGTCAAAGAAGGAAGAAGGTATTACTGTTATATGAATAATCTGATCCTTTGTTGCCACACGTTGCTGCTGTAATTTGTAATATTCATGACCTGATCCATATTAAAATGCCTCTGGCGCACTTGCAAGGAGGTAAGATTAAAGTTAACAAAAAGGGCTTTATTTTCTATTAATGATTTTATAAGGGAAATGAGCCATTATATTGAAGGAAAGAATCCTAACAGAGATTTTAATACCTCAGTCAAGATGTCTAGCCATTGGATTAAAAATAAATAAGGTTAGTATTTGTTAGAAAAAAAATAATTGTTAGGTTCAGCTGTTACAGAACAGATTTGGATTTAGTGATGTTTTATAGAGATGGAAGGTTGGTTGTTTTTGTTTTGGTTTGTTTGGGTTTTTTTGTTTTCCATACAGCCAGGCTAAAATACTTATTTACTCATGGCAAAGTTGGACTATATGTAGAAGGAATTTAAGGTTGCATTTGGTTAGCTGTTGAGCGTGGCTGCCAGAAGAAGGTACAGTCTCCCTGTGGGAGGTCACTTCTTTGCGCCGTACCTGTGATGCAGTATCTGATAGATTGCCAGGATGCTGCTTTGTTGTCTAAAGCAAAGATTATTGTCCTCTTGGAAGTTTTGAGTAGCAGTAAATTGAACTTTTTTTGGATTTAGGGAAGCTGTAAAGATAATTCAGCTTCACACTCCCAGAATTTGTAGATTATAAAAAAATAAAGCTAAGTGCAGATCATTGTTAAAATAATACTATCTTGATGCAAAACCTCAAAGGAGTGAGAATGTTGTGGACTGGGAACAGTCAGCGTTGGCTGTAGCCTTGCTGGGTGGCAGCTGCATTTGTAACTCTTGAGAAACCCAAACTTGGACTGTTTCTACAAGGGAAAATAAGGTTGTGTCCTATGGGGCCACACTGAGGATTCTCTCAGTATTCCATCTTTCAGTGTGAGAATGGCCACTCTCGTGAAAGATACAAAGATGAGACTCGTGCTTCTTCAGAATTAGGTGGTGGTTTTCTCAGTATTGTTGGGAATATTTGTCATTCTGAGCATGCCTTTCGTCTCGGATTGATGAAGTCATAACATCAATTGCTTAGACTTTATTGGTGTCATTTTTTTTCATCCTAACAGTGTGGAACTGTGAAGTGATTCATACAACACTGAGGCAATAAAAATGTTACGAAGAGCAATCAGTGCATGTTTCATACTCAGTAGCTAATTTTTAATTTCACCATCTTGGGCACTTTTTCATCCCCTCAGGCTTCCTAAGTAGGAAAGGAGAATCATTTGGACTTAGAAAGCAGGAACAGTGATTCAAAAAAGAATTAATTTACTTGGCTGTTTGTTTTCTTTACTTTTGCAATTATTTCTGTTGTTTGTGTTTGAACACTGACTTCGTTTCTGTGTATCAGATACCCACTTGTTCAGTCCTGCAGTGAAATCACAGCCCTGTGGTTGTGACATCATTTGTTTATCATGAAGAGGAAAATACCTCACCGATGACATCAGATGAAGTTGCATTATGTCTGGATCAGAACAGAGATGAAAGTGAGTCTGGGAGGAGAGGAAGACGCTGAGCCTAAAGGATTTTTTTTCTTTGCTGCCTTCTGACTTGAAAACTTTTTCCTACTACGGAAATTATTTCCTCTACGTTTAGCAGAATAACAACTTTATGTTCCTT